AGCTCAAGGTGCTTTTGTACAAGGCAGACAAATAGTATATTAGATTTTGATAGCTAATGAATGTGTGGAGGAGATGAAGAGATTAGGTAAAAAAGGTTTTGTCTGCAAATTGGATCTTGAAAAAGCCTACGATTTGGTGGACCGAAGCTTCCTCTTAGAGGTGTTAAGAAAGTGTGGGTTTGGGGAAAGATGGTGCAAGTGGATTAAGGATTGTCTCGCTTCTTGCCATTATTCTATCCTTGTGAATGTAGTAGTTAAGGACTTCTTTCCAACTTGTAAAGGCCTAAGGCAAGGTGATCCACTCTCCCCCTTTTTATTCACTCTTGTTGCTGATATGTTAAGTAGATTGATTTCAAAAGCAGATAGGGAGGAGGTAGTGAGTGGTTGGAGAATAGGAAGAAATAGTGTGCCTGTGACTCACCTTCAATTTGCAGATGATACTATAATCTTTTGTGAAGGAAGTGACTTGAGGAAGGTTGGGAACCTTAAGAACTTAATTAATTTTTTTTTAAAAGGCTTCAAATCTAAAAATCAACTTTGAAAAAAGTTGTGTGGTGGGAATCAATATGAATGCTCAAGAAATAGAGGCTATTGCAGGTTGCTCAGAGTGCTCCACCTCATCTTGGCTCTTAACTCATCTAGGTCTTCCCCTAGGAGCTAACCCAAAGGAAAGCCACTTTTGGATCCTTGTTGTGGAAAAGTTTGGAAAGAAGTTGGCAAGCTGGAAAAACAATTATATCTTTGTGGGGGGTAGAGTAACTTTGATTAAATCTACACTTGCTAATTTGTCGGTTTACTTTCTATATGTCTTTAAGATTCCTACTAGGGAAGCTAAGAGGATAGAGAAGATGATGAGGGACTTCTTGTGGGAGTCAGGGGAAGAGAAGAAGGATCATTTGATTAGATGGGAGATAGTTAGTTGAAGTAAGGAGGAAGGAGGATTAGGATTAGGGAATATTACTTTTAAGAATGTAGCTCTTCTAGGTAAGTGGTTGTGGAGATGGCCTTTAGAGAGGGAGAGGTTATGGCATGAAGTGGTGGCAAGTATCCATGGCTTTTCCGGAAATGGTTGGGATACAGGGGTATCTAGACGGGCAACTCTTGCAACACCTTGGAAGGTAATTCATGGCATCCTCCCACAGTTCCTACGCTTTGTAAGGTATGATGCTTGCTCTGGGACTCAGGTTCTTTTTTGGGAAGACACTTGGGTGGGAAATTTGCCCCTTAAGGATTTGTTCCATTCTCTCTTCTCTATTTCCCTTTATAAAAAAGAACATGTGTCTTCCTTTCTTTTGTCCCCGTATACCCCTTTGTCGACAAATCGGGACCTTGACTTTCGTAGAGGGTTGAGGGATGAGGAATCCTTATCAGTTTCTAAGCTCTTATTGCTACTCAATTCTGTTTGCCTGGACCCACTCATTTCTTATAGGAGGATTTGGACTTTGACTCCGAAAGGGTCGTTTACTTGTGCTTCTTTCCTTAATTCCCTTTGCTCCAGTTCCTCTCCTGGGCTTTCCCAGTTAAGGAAGTTTGGTCTAGGCCTGTTCCTTCAAAAATAGTTGTGTTTTGTTGGGAAGTTTACTATGGTAAAATCAATAAGATGAATAACCTGCAGAAGAAAAGACCTTTCTTGTGTTTATCCCCTAACTGGTGTATTTTGTGCAAAGCGCAGAATGAGGACTGTTACCACTTATTGATTTCTTGTCCTTTTGCTGCAGCCACTTGGAATTGGGTATTTGATTTGTTTGAGTGTAGGTGGAACTTGCCAGCTGAGGTAAATTTGATGTTTTCCCCTTCTACCTTTGTGTGGACTGCAAGAAGAGGGAGAATCATGTTGAAGTGTATAAGAGCAGCTCTCCTTTGGACTATTTGGGAAGAGAGAAATTCCAGAATTTTTCAGGAGAAGGAAAGAAGCATTCTTAAGGTCAAAGAGTGTATTGTTACAAGGACTATTTTGTGGATGAAATCCTTAAATCTCTTTGAAGATTATTCCTTTGAGGATTTAATGAGGAATTGGTCTGCAGTTTCCCTCACTTCCTCTAGGAAGCCTAGAGTTCAAGTAACTTGGACTCCGCCGATGGAGGGTTTTTTTAAGCTGAACTTTGACAGAAGTAGTCAGGGTAACCCAGGACCGTCTGGGATTGATAGTGTACTGAGAGATGAGAACAGCAACATCATTGCCTTTTTTTCGGGACCAGTGGGAATAGGAGATTCTAGGAGGGCTGAACTCCTAGCTGCGGCACAAGGGGTACAGATTGCTTATCAACTTGGAGTGCAAAACTTAATAATTGAAGGAGACTCCAAGGTGGTAGTAGGATGGCTGGCTGACCCAGGTACTGTCACTTGGAACTTTAAGGATATCTGAAAAAAAGGTCAAATGACTATTGAGGAGCACAACAGTTAGAGTTTAGTGGTTGGGTAGATCGGCTAATGCCTTGCCTGATTATCTTGCTAAACAAGGGGCTACTCGGGTTTCATTGTATTGGCTTCTCTGCAATTTTCTTTTTCCATTGTTTTGTTCTTTAACTAAAGGGTTGATGGTTTCTTCCATCTCCCCTCCTTAAAGGGGATGTAGCATCTTGTGCCTCTCCCTAAATTGTACTATCTTTGGCTTTGATTTAATAAATCTGACAATTCACTGATAAAAAAAAAAAAAAAAAACAATCCAAAAATGGCTAGTGTTACTTAGGGCTGAAGCATGATATGCAGTAGCTCGAGTACCTGAGTGAGCAAAAGCCGAAGTGGGAGTAGTAGTAGATGTTGCAGCTGAAGACTGAGATGATCCTGAAGCTCCAACTTCACACTCTAACTGAGTTAAGGCAGCTCTGACTACAACTAATGCATCTAGGGATGTGAGTTTTGCTGTAGAGGAGGATGCACAATCAGTAGTAACTGCTGCATTGACATTCCCCTTCTTATTCTTGAATCTTGCTAGAACAAGATGATGATGCAACTTCTAGTAGGTGTCTCTAGTGTGCTTTGGCTTCTTGCAATAGTCACACACCATATCCCTCTTGTCTTCCCTTTTCATTTCCCTCTCCTTGTCACTAATAGATTTTGGCTTCACTGCTGCCAAGGCCGATTCCATGGAAGGAATTTGTGACATAACTTTCCTTCTGCTCTCTTCACTATGTACTAGTGAAGAGGCTTGAGACAAGGTGACACTGTCCCTGGTGAGCAACTGTTGCCTTACAATATCATAATCTGAATTTAGTCCAGCAAGGAATTCAAAACCTTATTTGTTTCAACCAACTTCCTATAAGTTGTTGCATCCTTTTGGATTTCCCATTCAATAGTCTCCAAGTGATCAATCTCATGCCATAGAGATTTTAAGGTAGAGAAGTAAATTGACACAGGTTTCTCCCCCCATTTAAGGTTATTCACTTCACTTTTCAGCTCATATGCCCTAGCAACATTAAGGGGCTGTGAGTAGGTTTCCTTCATATTTTCCCAGATTTCCTTGGCAGTCTTCACCCACAAGTAATTTCTACTGATGTGTGGCTGCATAGAGTTGCAAAGTCAAGTCATCACTAGATAGTTTTCTTGAACCCATTTTGCATAGATTGAGTCTCCCTTTGCCGGTTCTTTAATGTCTCCGGTTACATATCCAAGTTTTCCCCTTCCCCCAATGGCCATCATAACCGATTGGGCCCATTCCAGGTAATTTGTGCCATCAAATTTAACAATAGTGATCTGAAAAGTATTTTCTGAATTACTCCCAGACCCCATAGATCCTTCTCCAAAGGATTTTGGTTCTTTCCCACCTATTTCCATACTGATCACACCACAAAAACCTCAAAAGAACTCCCTCAACAGATCTGAAACACAGCTTTAACAGTAATCCAATACAAACTTCAAGACTGAATTACTCCCTTAACAGTCCAAAACTGAAAAAAGAGCAGAAGAAATAAATGGGATAGGTCGAAACACACTAAACTGACCTGCTCTCTGTAGAAACCCTAGAATCGGTCTAGAGAGAAAAGGAAAAGAACCAGCCGCTCCTTCCAGAAGGGTTAAATCTCTTCCTACAAGTAGCCGATCTCAAAAAGGAACAATCTTTAACCCAAAAACCTCTGGGCGCCAATCCCAATTGAATTGATCCAAAAACTCTGATTCTTCCTGGTTAATAGTGATCTCCAAGATTGCAGATCTTGGGCAGCAAGAATTCCTCCAATCAACCTCCAAGAATCAGGCAATACAGTCTGAAGAATCCAGCCCTAATGCATCCTCATGTGGCCGGCTGGAAGAAGCCTACATAGGTGCTCTAGCAAGCCCTAACCTTGCTCTGATACCAAGATGGCGTATGCTGATCTCAGTTGATCAGAAACCTGATAAAACTTCAGTAGGAAAACAAAGAAATAACAGAAGAAGAAGAAGAAGAAAGAAGAAGAGAAGAGAAGAGAAGAATGAGAAGAAGAAAGGGCACAGAATAGAATGATCTTCTGCCGCCCAGAACTTTTATTTATATACTCTTATTAAAACCAAGAACATAAAGACACCTATGTCCCTGCCGCCCAACTCACTCCTTAGTCAATGATGACAGAAATAACAATAGGCCCAGTAAGGCCCAGAAAACTAATAAACAGAAATAATAATAGGCTCAAAATAATAACAATTAAATAAAAGGAAAAAACAACTGATAATGGCAGGGACTTCACTAAAACTAGTCTATTTCTCCACACTTTCATCAAGTTTCATTATTGGTTCCTTGTAATTTTATCCAACCCATGGACCATTGTATTCATTGATTGACAATTGACCTCAAGAGATTTTATCAAGTTTCATTATCTGTTTTTTGTGAAATTTACAAATCTATGACCCATTATCTTAATCTTTGACTGTTTGAAATGATACATATTTGAGGTTTGCTACACTTCTACCTATATTAAGCAATTTCTTTATACTTGTATTAAGTTTGTGGGTGATGAAAATAAATTTGAACTTCAATTGGAAATTTTATAATACCTCCAGTTTGCGTTTTGACATTCATTTTGGTGCAGGTCTATCTTGTTGCTGGCCTGAATGGAGGTTTCTTGACTTTTCTTGTATCAGCTTTCATGCTTCCTGCGTGGATCTCTTTTCGCTTGTCCACTAAATATTTTGGGCATCAATCACTGAAGTATGGGCAAAATCTATTACCTTTGTGAAATATTTGAATACTTCAAATATTTATTTACCTTCCATCCTTTTAAGGATTCGTTAAATGAACAAATTCAAAATGATGTAAAACAGTTTGCTTAGTTCTGTTCGTGGCTTAATATATCTTTTTAATAATTTAGCATTTAATACAAATTATATCTTTACACCTACTGCATACCAGTGAATATATGTTGTCAATCTGCTGACAGAGATCCCACTGATTCATTCCAATTCTTAATATTTATTTCTGTCAAATGATGGAAGGAAGTGTTGAATGTGGCACCTTGATAGAGTGCATCATTCCACAATAATGCTTGCTGGCATGGGTGGTAATGAGAGGTAGTAAGTAGTAGGGGTGTCCACGGTTCGGTTCACCTTCCATGAAACTTTCTGCCCACTCTTTCTAGGGTTCAAATGGTCTTAGAGATATACCTTGCCCCAAGGCAATTCCACACTTTCACCCCAGTATTTCTGCTAGGCTATCCACTTCACCTACAGCCATTATCTCACTTTTATGTAAGTTAATGTGAAATCCCAACACCACTTCAAACCATGTAAGGATACATTTCAGATGGAGCACTTGGTTGGGTGATGCCTTATAGAAGAATAAAGTATCGTCTGCAAATTGTGAAAGAGTGATGGCAGATTGTGTGGGACTTACTTGATGCCTTATGTAGAATAAAGTATCCCTCTGAGACTGCTCTTTCTGCCAGTTTACATAGGGCTTCAGATTGGCATACTTCTTGAGTGAGATAACATACATCCTACATTCTCTGTCATTATCCTTGTCCTGGATTCCTAGAGATCTGAATGCAGTGATATATAGTTTAGCTAGGCACAGGAATAACTTTCTTTTACAACTCAGTTTTGTGCCTAACCTTTTTTTGGGATTGACAATAACTTTCTTTTACAACTCATTTAGATCTTATTATTTTGATTAATTTTGTGTTAGATTCTTCTAAAAAGGGGACTTACATATACCCCTAAAGAATCATGTTGTTGCACTTCCACTTTATACAAACATATATCTTTCTGCATATATACTTAATTTATATATTATGTATCATTCATGCTTAAAGTTTCTTGCTGCCTTTCAATGCATGACAAAGCTGTTTGATTCTTAAATTGCCTTCTACCCTACAACAGCTATGCTAATTGCCTATAAAATTGGCAAATTAGGATCTTCCATAAAATTTTATTGCATATAGAGGGTTAGTGGAATATGTAATATCTGTTTGAACAGTGTATGGTTTAGTTTTACCTCAACAGTGTATGGTTTAGTCATCAATATTTTTCTAGATTGATGTAATATATGACTACAGGCTTTAATAGAATTTCCAACATTTGGAAGCCCAGTTTTTTTAATGTGGTCAAAATAATTTGCATGCAATAATTCAGTACTAAGGTCTGATTACAGATTGGTGATTTTTGTAGGTCATTGTTATGTTATGTGGTACCTCTAATACCATGCCTTGCATACTCTGTCTACTTTGGTGGGTTTCTTATTCAATTCTTGATTGAGAAGATGGGCATGATGGGTTCTCTTCCACATCCCTATGGTTAGTCTTTCCAAACTTTTCCTTGTTAATGATACTTAATACCTTTTCTCATCAGCAATAAAAAAAATTTTAAAATTAAAAAAGAAAAGAATACAAAGCAAGAGCAAGAAGCATCCTAGAGAGTTCTTCCTTTCCCATCCTTGGGGAGAAATGTCAAGTTACAACACGACATAAGATTGAGGACTGAGCATTCATAGCAACAGCAAAAAGCATTAAAGGGATCCCATCAGGGGAACCCAAAAGCATATAATAAACCTGCTGCTATATAGTGCAAAACTTCATCAACCATGGAGATTCCAGGGAGACCAGGGGAAAACATAGTCTATTAATACGTAATTTGCACTAAATCTTTCAGATTGCAATGTTTATTTAGATGGTGTATTCTAGGGCCTCTTGAAGAAAAGAAACATATTTATTAGTTCAATATTGTCTGGTGTCAATAGTTTATGGGATGAAGGTATACTTTCAAGGAAGCATCAAGTATGTGAATGGCTCAGGTCCATCCTCTATTGGCCTATATCTTATACTGCACATCTGATCCACTGCCTGGTCACTGGAGCAGACAACCATTGCGCCAGCTCTTGGATGGGGACATGGCTTGAAATCAAAGAGATTTTTGAAGATTTCCCTGATCATTAACCTTATTCTTTCTTCCTTCTTACTTTAACTGTATATTAGAAGATTAAGATCCTGCGTTTTTTTTTTCAGTGATGCCTCATTTCTGAAATTGACCAACTGTGGGCCACATGTACAGCATTGGTGATTGTATTCATGATGATGGACCTTATACAGTTGTTTATACCACTCCAAATTGTCTCCCAAAAGGCAGGGATTCCTTGAAGAAAAGAATCAAAGGGATCTTTGAAGGTCTAGCTCATTTGCTTCCTAGAAGCTGTAGGGACATAAACTCATTTATATTAAATGATGCTAAAAGTGGTTGATAATAATAAAATATGAAATGAGCTTGAAAGTTTTCAGAACAGAAAGTGAACTTTTTATGTGTACTTTTGTATACTTGGTCACATCTTGAATGGAGGACGCACCTTTCTCCTTCACTTGCACACTCTGATGTTATATATTAATTGGTTCTTTTAAGTTTTATCAATAAAGAAAGGCAGGGTATGTTTCTGCATATTGAAAGTGGATATAGAGAATGTGCTTACTTCGGTGTCCATGTTTATTTCTTTGATTTGATAACAAAGAATTTTTTTCACTTTCAGGATATTTTGTTCCCGATGTTATAGTGGCAGTACTTGTTGGAGTTGTTACCGGATGGTGTGTCGGCCCATTAATACCTGTTTCTGGTGGCTGGTTGGCCAAATCATCTATTCTGCAATTTTTGGTGCATCTTAGTTTGCTTGCTTTGCCAATTTCATCCCAGTTCTTCCCATACAGCATAGATGCACCAAAAAGAGTTGTACTTCAGCATACATTCCTGACTTCAGGTATTTATGGATGGCAGATGAAGATGGTAATATGTCAATTTCTATGTTCCAAATGCTTCATAAGGCAATACCTAGGAAGGAACCTAGGCTACAAGACTTTTTTTGGGGGGATCACCTTGTGCCTCACCTTGGTGTTTCCATATGGGAGGTCTAATGGTTTTGGGTGTAGTGCAGCTAAACCCTATCGTATTTGTATAAATAAGATAAACAAGCATCAGAAAAGAGCAATTTTTCAATTTAGAGAACCATAAAATGGGCTTGCCCCTTCTTTTGTTCTTTTTTTCCAATCCACTGCAATTAATTGTATTTGTTTGCCTAACTATGACCAAAAGGGTTCTAAAAGCCAGTGCTCTCACCTCCCTGATCATAGGCCTCAATATCCAAGGGCCATCCTTGTTATTCCACTGTTTATTTTTTTTTATCAGCATCACCCCTTATTCATTTTATGACCACCTAGGACACATCTTGATCAAAGCCAAGGGAGAACCAATTCTTTAAAACGTGGAGGCTTGACACGAGGCGTTCCACTACCTGGAGGCATGAGGCGTACGTAGTTCAGAATGCAAAAGGCATAAGCCTCCTTAAGAGGAGGAGAAATATCTCTTCTTGTTCTTCTTTTTTCTTTTCTTTTTCATGAAAGATGTCCTATATTAAGAAGAATGAGGATATATAATGCTATCTAAAAGCAGGGTCCTATTGAAGGGGAGGCAAGCAAGTTGGGATGCATCAGAAAGGTGTTTTTTTTTTTTTTTTTNGGGGTTCACGCCTCTATTGTTTGAGGGCACCTCCAAGTGTACACCTCCCTTTTAAAACATTGTGGAGAACATGAGAAAGAAATCATGGGAGCTGCATTAATATCTGTAATTTAATGGGATTATTGTTCATGGAAAATTGGATTGGAGAACACCATTTTGATCTCCCTGCTACCTTCACTGAAAAAGCCACCAATAACCAAACTTGTGTTCCAATTAAGCAGCTATCGACATTAAGCTTAATGGCCCCTTTAGTACCCAGTGTTATGGAATTTACTGATCTTTCTTTTCTATTTAATAGATTTCTTTTATCAATAGAGAAGGGGAAAAGCTGTCCCTTTGGGAGCATTTCTTTATTTGATTATAGGTGGCTCCCCCCCTAAAGAGGTGGATGATTTGTTCCAGACTAACTTACTCTCTCCTACAAGGGAAGTTGGACCCCTCCTCCAAGAAACAGCATTCTTGGGACCAACAAGCACTTCAGAGATTAAACCCGGCTACACCTATGCTTTCCAAGGAGTGATGGTAGACTGGAACTCAAAGGATATTATATCATGGCTGTCAGGTAACATGGATGGATGATGGAGTATGAAACACGTACTCAGGGCAGTGAGACAATTGGCAGTTGGTTTTGGTGCTTTCTCTTGGGTACTGTTGTCTGCCAATGAGATGGCTGATTTACTAGCCAGAGAGGATGTAAACAGACAGATGGATGTGGGGTGAAAATACCCTGCAGTAGGAAACTAGTTCTGTTTTCGTATTTGGGGGGCTCTACCAGGAAAAAAGGGGGTAGACAAAGGAACCTGCTCTGTATGGACTATGGAGTTGTATATCATGTACATAATACATTCTGTGTAAATATACTGTACATTACAGCAATATTAATATATTTTTCTGTTGCTGAAAAAGGGGGGAATACTAACTTCTCTATGCTTAGTGTTTGATAATGCAGAAAACCCATCTTCTTGGAACATGATTATGAATTCCTTTCTTCCCTCTGTTGATCTTGCATCTCACACAAATGGAAAGATCCTCATATGCACAGATCTTGACATGTGTTCTGTCTCTCCTTCCCATACCAGCTAGTTTAGAAGGTAGGTTGGAAAGAATGATGATTTTGGGGGGGAAGAATGATGAAAAAAAGCACTTGGTAAACTGAAGCAGGGTTTTAACCCAAAGTATTGGGGTTAAAAACCTGTTACTTAGAAGGTTGAACCGTTTTAACAAAGCTTTATTAGGGAAGTAGCATTAGAGATACAATGAAGAGATTAACAGTCTGGAGGGTGCTAACACAAGCTATGGTTGTGCCTTATGGAAAGGAATCCAGCAAGCTAAACAGGATTTTTTGAAAGCTATCAAATATAAATTTGGTGACGGAACTAGGATCAGATTTTGGTTGGACACTTGGTGTGGGGAGAACACTTTACAGGAGATCTACCCTTCTTTGTGTGCAGTTGTTGAATGAGAAGCAAGAAAGAAGAAAAGAAAAGGGAGGAGAGAAGAAGAGTTGCGAATGGTGTATCTTGTTACTGTTCACACCAGAAACATTGCTTTTATATTTGAGAGGAAAAGTACAAGATTGCCTTTACTTGGACAACCAAATATAAAAGAAAGGAAAAACCCAAAATATCCTTGCAACATATTTCATATTCTCAATAGTGTGTGGTGAAATAGATCAAAATAAGGAGGCAATGGTGGCCGATGTTATGGCTCATCATGATGGTATTGGAAAATGGAATCCTCTATTTAGGAGAAATCTAAGGTGTCTCTAGTTGTGGATTTATTGCAGAAGCTCTATCCAGTTTAGTCTAAGCACATCAGGAAGTGATTAGAGGATGTGGAGGTGGAGTAAAGATGGGTCTCAATGGTATTACGGTATCCTTCTATAAAAGGTTGCCTGGACCTGGAGAGAACAATCTCCTGGGTTAGGATCTGGTGTACAGGTGCCCCCATTAAAGTTGCTTTTCTGTTTTGATCTGTTACTCTTTATGTCATAACGAGTGTATGACCTCTGATAATTTGCTGAAGAGGGGATGTTCTGTAGATAATGCTAACTGTATCTTTTGAAATGAGGTGGAAACAGTGGGTCATATACTCATTTTCTTGCACTGTAGTTTTGTTAGAAGGCTGTGGGCTAGGCAGTCAGGCATATTTGGAGTTCAGTGGTGCTTCCTGGAAACTATGGAGGATGCAGTAAGAAGTTGGTACCTTAATGATCTGAGTAAGAGATGTAAAGTGGCTTGCGAAATCATGCCTTTAGCCTTAGTTTGGACTATATGGATGGATAGAAATGGTAGAATTTTTTATGGAAAAGGAAAGAGGGAAGGAGATATTATAAAAACTCCTTGGGGCAGAATCTACTCCTGGGTAGCAGAACAAAGACTTTTTGGGAAAACACAGTTTAGCTCTTTTTTTGCTCATGATTTTCGTTTTGTAATTAATATAGAATATATTGATGTATAGATTCTTGAGGTGCATAGATCCTGGCTGTGTTGGTATTAGTGCTTCTCTATTTTTTGTTTTTAATATATGTTTTTTTCTAAAAAACAAAAACAGATACAATGTGTCACGCATGAATATGGCAATAAGTGATATTAATGCCTATGAAACCATGAATCTCATGTGAAGTGACTTTATTGGACGCATGCCTATTAACATTTTGACATATTAATTTTAAGGAACCTAAAAATTTGTAAAAGCAGGTTCATGTCCTATAAAAGCTCAACATGCCAGCATTATCCTGAAATAACTTGCAATGTAGATTACATTAAACCATTTAACTCTCCCAGTTTTGTTAGATTGCAACATTGGCACATTATGCATATATGCTTGCATGTTCATCCATTGTTTTCTTCAGCTTTCTCCATGAGTTTAATGTTAGAGTTATTACCTCTGAGACTGCTCTGATTTGTTATATCTTCTGAAAAGTACCTTCTGGTGGGAGTGACAGATACTAATCAGATTTTGGACTCCAGTTATGATTTTTCTGTGGTGGATTCCAATTCTTTACATTTTCTCTTCAAATATGCACCTGAAGCAGCAAGGGAACTGCATATAAATTCAGAATTATCTTTTGAGAGCATTAGTCAGTCTCATCGAAGCACATGGGTGGTATGTAATAAAATACTGGTCCTATAAGCCTTCTTATTTTTGGGGTTGAAATCCTATAAACACGACTTTGTATTTTTGCTGCATTCTTACCATATATCATGATCAGCATGCTTTTTAGATCTGAATATTCAAAAACTCGTTTTTTGTTTGGGGAACAATGGCCGGTAGAACCTAGTTTTTTTTTAATTAATTACGGTCAGGAAAATCTTTATAGGTGGTGACCCCTGCTGTTAAGAAGCTAACAGCAGGGAACTTACTTTATAAAGTACAAAGACAGTATAAAGCTAAAACCAGTATAGTAAGATACGATACAGGCCCTTAAACTTGCTTATCAGTTCCTGGACCTCTGCCCTCCAGACAAGGTTTGATATCCCAACCCCCACCCCACCCCAAGTCATCCAAGGAATCTTTTGATCTTGGAATCCACTTGAACAAAATGCTTTACCCTATGTAAGTGGGGATCTAAGAGATACGGACCTGCCGTACCTGAAGACGTTCACTTTAGAACCACCTGGTGGCAATCCCCTTTCATTATCAAACGTGATCTTTCTGAAGAGTAAGAAAACTCAAGTCCTACCTAGAAAATTCCTCTATCTTATTGGATTTATGTGATGATTGAAAAATGCAATCTATGCAAGTTTTTGTCAGAAATTGGAGAACCATGGCAATTCAATTAGATGGTCATGATCATCCAATGAAATCAATTTTTGGATTAGTTGATCTCTCAAGTGTGATAGTGGCATGTCTGTGCTGCTTAACACTCAAGAGGACTAGAAGGTTGTCATTCATTCCCAATCTTGAAAGGAGCCAAAGGAGAACTAAAGACAGCAAAGCCTGAGCTTACATCACAACAGACTTGAAAACAATAAGGAAAAGAAACATGTTCAGATATGAATATCTTTGTGGTTGAGTGACTGTTTCCTCTCTTTCCCATCTCACTTCTCTCTTGCATTATAAATATGCTATGTCTACATGATCACGAGATTTTAGCCTTCTTAGGATTTTCTTTATTGGCTTTGACTGTTGGCCATACGGTTTGTGTCATGCTACATCCATGAAAGCTGCAATGTTGACCCTGCCTGTGGACCTACTTTGTGTGTTTACATGGTATTGGTGTTTGTGTGTGTGTGTCTCTCTCTTTTTTTTTTGCAAAGTCGACCCTGTCAACCTGGTTGTGTGTTTATATGTATATGTGTTTTATTAGTATTTGTGTGTGTATGTGAGAGGTCCACCACTCAAATGTGCAATTAATCACCTTCTTGCAGCAAACCCTGAGTTTTATCTGTGATCAGACTGTTAGTTTCCAATAGAATGTTTTCATCTGAAAAACTTTATTGCTATTTCAAATTCCTCTAAATGGCTTTGTTCTCGGAATGTTATTGACTGTTTTATCAATTATTTTTAGTAGTTCTTTTCCTATGCAGGCACTTTTTCCAGTATCTTCCTTGTTCACAGGGAGCTTGAAGTTCCCTGCTAGAAGTGACGATATCTTGAAGCATTATAGAGTTTTCCCTCAATTATCTACTTATCAGCCAATTGAAGTTTCTGCTACAGGATCTCGAAAAGTCTATTTGGAGCTTTATTTGGGGTGTGTAGAACATACACATGCAACTTGTTTAAAGATTTTGACATGCATATACAATGTACATGTTTGTATTTATTGTTGTGTCCTGAGTCATGATGTTCTATGGATTGCATTTCTGTTTTCCATTTCAGTTCTTTAGAAGAAGTTTGGGTTGCAGTCCTTAACATTACAGGTCCTTTGTCTGGTTGGTCATTTGCTGATAATAACCTTTCAGGTAATTTAAAATTCTTTGGTTCTGCTCTTATGGTTAGGTGCTTTTTTGGCAGTGCATAATTTATCCTTTTGAAAATTTTACAGCTCCTGAAACGATTGATGGTGGTCCACCTTCATACATTTGTAGACTCAGTGGGAGTGCCCATGATAATTGGACCTTCTGGTTAGAGGTACAGTTTCTACCATATTTGGCCTTCCAGTTATTACTATACTTCATTTTGTTCCCTTATTTTGCCTATTATACCAGTATTTCACATTTCGCTGATACAACCACATACTGTTATTCTAGAACCAATAGTGTCAGAATGAGAAGAAAGCAATTTCGTGGTCCCTCCTATAAAGATCTCTTCGGGGAAATTTCACTTGGTAGACAATTGTACATGTCCTTTTTCGTATATCTTCTACTTTGATAAAAGCAAACACTAGAACGGACAAGTTTAGAAATGAAATCATACGAAGGAACCTATGAGTAGCTCCAATGGGTAATAAAATGAGAGAAAGTACCTGGAGATGATTTTGTCACGTGCATAGAAGACTGTCTTAGCACCTGTTTGGAAAAGTGATCTGTTACAAGTTGAAGGGGCTAGAATAGCTAAGGGCAGAACAGAATGGAGAAATGGGATTCATGTAGCCGGCCCCATGTAGTTGGGACAAGGCTTAGATGATGATGATGATGATGATGGATTTATTATTTAGTTCCATTGATTTGAATAAAAATGCAGAGCCTTGTGGGGTCAACATCTTTAACCCCAACCCCTGCACAAAAGATCAAGTTTCCCGTCCAAACAAAAATAACTCAAAGTACAGGTTTGCCAAGCTTAAATATGAAACTCAAATCCCATCCAACAGTGGAGACCCCATGGAATACGTTCTTCTCAAGAGTTCTGACATCTTTGGGATTTTGGTCCTGTAAAATGGTCTTCAGACCCACTTTCTGTACGATTGTCATGTTTATTAATCAGACTAGTTGATGGCTTCCTCCTTTCCTGTTATCTTTTTTCCAAAAACTACATTCTAAGTTCCTTCACGACTCAATTCTCTTGAGTGCAAATTGCAGGCAAACAGCTCTGAAGTTTTGAGGGTGGAACTTGCTGTGCTAGATCAGTATTTGGTTGAGGTATCAAGGAATTTGAAGGACCTATTCCCAAGCTGGGTGGATATCATCGCTTATTCTAGCTTTCTCTCAAGCTATGTCTTCTAATCAATTTTTTTTTAATTATTGTTACTAATAATTTGACTGAATAAACGGTACCCCACCTTTCGTATTTTTGGGTTAATATTTAATAAACCAAAAAAAAAACTTTTTTAAGGATGTTGCTGACTTTTGGATATACATGGGGCTTATTCAGATCTTCTCTTAAATGGGCTGTAGTTCTTCAAGTGTCATAAGTTCAGCTGATGCTATTACTAAAATTCTGTTCGACTTTGGCCATTCGTTCCATATATTGAGGGTTCAGGCCTGTTTATTTATTATGCGAGAGGAAATGTTAGTTTTCTCACTTTTTTTTTTTATTGGCTGTCAGGCTTCTTTTTGTTGGTACTAGCAGATTAACGGGTGTACCAATAACACTCTCTCCCTCCCGCCTCGTTCTTTACCCAGGTAACTTGTATTGTGCAAGAACACTGGACTCTCACTAACCCGGACAAATTTTACTTTGGCTCAGTTTGGAAGGAGTAAAAAATACAAATATGTTAAGTCTTAGGAAACATTTGTGATTTGCGTGTGTAAATGGACTTATCCAAATAAATAAAAGCAAACAATCAGGCTAAATAAAAATGAATGGAACCTAAATGTCAGTGGAATTTTGCTTCCAAATATGAAAACTGAGGTATTTTTTCCCATATTTTATTACCCATTTATTTCACTAGAAATTTTGTAAATGGTACAAAGTGGTTAAAACCAAAATAAGTATAAATATATTTATCAAATATTAATAAAAACAAATAAAATTTATCAAGAAGTTTCATATAATCATCATGGGCCAAGGTTTCAAAAGGATTGAGATAAAACCTTTGGTTTGACACTTGCAATTTGTGTTATTTGAAAGAAGAGGGAGAGAGGAGCTACTCTGGCTATCACGGCATTAATTTATCAAGATTCAAGAGTCAATAGTCAAGACGTAACGAACACAGAGATTATTGTCAGAGAACTCGAGCTAAAAGCTTGGCCATACTTAAATGTTAAGTTAAGCATTCATGACTGTTGGTCTTCGACCGTCTCCGTGTTTGACTTGACCGAAATTAAATTTCTTTTAAAATAAATAGTCATCAGGCGCTATACAATGGTTATTGGTCTAACAACCGTTATTTGATATTTCACATAAAAGATTAAATTGTTCAAATGACATTTGCAAGAACTGTGATTTATAGTGACAGAATATAACAATTGTTTTTATATGGTAGGGAAGTAGCAAATAGGGAAATTAAAGGATCACCATGAATGCATTTTCCATATCACATTTAGGGTTGTATCCAATTGTCCGTTTCCAACATTAGGTAATGGGCTAATATTGAATCTATCACGAAATTTGGTCTGAGCTTTGTATTTTAGTCAAAGTCACAAGTTAAAAGTTATTTTCAATTCGTTTTGTTCATAATATATAATAACAATTCATTCTTAATTAGTTCATTTTATTAGTTATATATAATATTTTAAGCATTTTTAGTATATTGATGCTATTCAATATCTGATTTGCAATCAGAATCAGATATAAATCTGACGGGTGAAATTTCATTTGAATCGAGATATTAACAAATTTATCAAATTTGGATCTTCGTGTATCTGATTCGAAATTATCCCCATGAAAAAGCCAGTGTAAAACTGCGTTTGTTTGTAGTGTAAATACCAGACAAGTATTATTTATACTACAGTCCAGTTCTACAACAGTTTGGATGAAATTGTAATTAAATATCAAAAATCGATGTAAAATTTCACACATATCAAGTTTTACATCGATAATCAGTGTGAATGTAAATTTGATAACAATGATGTAAAAGTTTATAATACCAATTCACATTTAACACTTTTAAACCAATCGGTGTATAACTCCAGTAGAAGTACATTTACACCGCTTTCAAACGCAGACTAAGGAGGCTCCAATCCTTCATTAGTTCCTTACCCCTGACAAGGAGAAACTGATCAATTTCCCTCCCATCCTACAGATTCACCCCAATTCCTCCTCGCCAGTTATGCTCCCATGATTCAGAAGTCGCAGAAAGTTTGAAGATGGAACATAATAATAAGAGGTACCATCCATTCATGACTGCGATGCAGACATCAACCATGTAATAAACCACCGAAGCTAAGAGGGATAACTAGCTCAACCTACACATTACTTGACACCTCAAGAAAGAAACAGGTTGTTCTACAACTGTAACTAGAGTCATGTAAGTTGCAAGTTTTGCGTCACAGTGCTTCATGGTTATAGGAAAAATATTGAATCAAGAGATTCCCCTTATACCAAGAATCACAAAGCAACATAAACTGATAATCAGCAGCTGTTTCAAAAGCATTGCTTCAATTCAGAGAATCATCAAGACTTACAGGAATAGAGAAAAAAATACCTCACAACACACAAAAGTATATATTCTATTTAAAACAAAACAAAACAAAACAAATCCAAGCTTTCACTGTTTTGAATCCAACAGCCTCCTGAGGAGTTTGGCTTTTATTATTGATGATGAATCGAGGAACTCCTCAAGATTAAAAATTCAAGCCACCATAACAGAACAATTTAAAACGAAGTGGCTCATTCGCTTTCCACCAGTGCTGAGACACCTCCACTCCAAATCCATGGCATTGGGATCAGGAGAGCAAATAAATATGGTCATCCCATGGCCTGCGTAGGATGTTGCAGACCCACCAATCACAAGCAGCTCATCACCCAGTGATTTGAAAGCTATACCCCATCCCCTGCTCTGATCGGCTCTCACAGGAACCATCCCCAAATCCTTCCACGAGTTGCTCTTCTTCAAGTACAGCTTCAGATGGTTTGATGAAGCTTCGAGCGAGTAGAGTTCGTTGTTCACAACGGCAACAAGGGGTGGAGATCGCGATGTCGAAACAGGGGCATCCTTCAACATGTCTGGAACTAGCTCCCATGCGTTCCTATCTGCATCATAGAACTCACCACAGGTTAGATCAATTCCTCTTTCGTTTTGCCCTCCGATCACGTAGAACTTGTTGTCCATGTAACACCCTGAACACATCTTCCTCCGTTGATGCATCCTCGGAAGCGGAACCCATGATTCATTCTCAGGGTCGTATTTCTCAGCAGAATTTAATATCTCCATACGATTCCCCATCCCAATCCCTCCGGCTACATACGCAACGTTTCCGCAGCTGGCAGATGCAAATAGGCATCTTGGGCTAATCATGGAAGGACCCCTGAACCATCTGTTCATTATCAAATCATACCTCCAAATGGCTACACCTTGAATTTCTTTGCCTGAAACAAGCAGGTGGGTTCCCGCGCAAAGTGACTCCTTGTCCCCAGCGGCAAAACACGGGTCTGACGGCAACGCCGGAAGCTTCCTACAAGATGTGAATTTCCGGTCGAATGCCCACCAGCACAACTCCCCGCCTGCCAACATGAAAACTGAGGGCTCCTTAATCCCAATCTCTCTCCTAATCTTGTAGAGATCACCGCTACTAAGTAAAGTTGAGTAGCGTTTGTTTACAAAGCAAAACTTCCAATATTCCGATCTCGGAACCCTAGCCAAGATTAGAAGCGCCAACTCATCACTGAGCGAAGGAACATAAGAATAATCTGCATCCTGAGGTTCTACATCTGATGAACCAACAACATCCCCGACTTCGTTGAGAGAAAATCCATCCCAGCTCTCATCGAAGCTCTGGAGGCTCTCAGAAACCCTAGTTTTCTTGGACGGCGAATTTCGACTGCTTACCCACGAACCATTGCCGGTACCCTCGTCGACAGCACCCTTCTTACTTCTCGGATTATTCTCACGTCTATGAGAACGTTCTTCTTCCTCCCCCTTCGACATTGATAACAACTTCTAAATCTAAAAACTTTTCTATTTGCAACAAACAAGAATTCAATTCACAACGAATCCCTAATCACCAAATGTAGAATAAAAAAAAGGAGAGGGAAAATCTTTTTTCTTTGTCATGGGTGGATCAAGAAATGTAAATCCAAAACAAAACCAACAACGAAAGCCAAAATGGGTATCCTTTTAAGGTGAGGAAGAAACGTACCAGAAAAGCCATGGCCGCCGCTTACAGTAAGGAGCAACGAAATCGAAATGAGCCGTTGGGATTTCCTAGGAATATGGTTTTCTGTGGATGGACCAAAAACCTTAGAGTTGGGTATAAACGAGGAACTAGACGAGACAGCAAGAGAGGGGGAGGAGGAAGAAGAGGAGAAAGGGCGAAGGACATTAAGGCACAGAGATCAGAGTGGTGGTGGAAGGGATCGTTCCGCATTCTCTCTGGATTTATGCTTAATTTACTCTGCTTGTTGAGATTAAAATACGTTGAAATTATGAGAGACGACATCGTCGATTTTGGAAAAGGTGAGAAAGATAGAGAAAGAGAAGAGGCGATGAGAGAGAGTGAGAGAGTGAGAGAGAGAGAGATGCACTACCATTGCGTCTCTCTCTGTTCGTTCTGCATATATTTAAAAATTATTCATTTAGAATTATCAATAATTTATTTATTATTTTTTTATTAGGGAAAGCAAATACCAAAAGCTGAACCGAAGAGAAGAGGGAGTAATTTTTCGTTAAAATTTTCAACTAATTAATTATTACTTTTCCAAAGTAATGAATGATAATGGAGAAGCTCAGTTCTTTTGTCGCTTCCTTTTTTTTTAGTTTTTTAAAGTAATCTTAATAATTTAAAAATATACCTACAAATAAAAAAATAATTGAAAATTTCACACACAGAGAGAAAGAGAGGATTGTTGAGGTGTTAATCAAATATAAACAAGCCAATTGTAACATTCAAATAAAAATCTTACAACTGGCCTAAGATACACAGTATTGATTTAGTGAATCTTTGTAAAAGTTTATACGAGGTTTCACATTCCCCTGCCCGGGGCAGATGCCAACCATCATTCAGCTGAGATGAGGTGGGACCATTCAGTTGGTGAATCATCGTAAAGTGGCTATGGCTATTTTGTTCCATGGGCGCTTGATGGAAAAACGCCACCCCAGGTGTTGGCGTTTGTTGTAAATGAAACCATTGTTTGATTTAAGGTTATCAAATAAATACTAAAAATCAAATTATTTATGTGTACGAAATATTGGGAAACTTTAAATTCTTATTTTTACACTTGGGCATTTAAGGAAATGAAATGCTTATGTGGTGTATTTTAAGGTGAAGTGGAAAGTAACGTTATAGGATGCTACATTGTTACTAATAAGTTGTTTATCCACCTTTAGGACGGTAACTGATTTTCTCGGGTATGTTTAGCTTTTGTAGGTTCTAATATAGTGACAAACGTTTATATTTCTACCTATTGACCAATTTACCCCTGCACTAACTATCATCAGATGAATGGGGGGCTTTAGAGATTCAACGCTTTACATTAAATCGTTAAAATGTATACTAATTCAACGGATAGGTTTAGTAGTTAAGTATTGATAGTTTGGGTTTATAATCATTAGCATCCTCTTCACCACTTGAATGGACTGGGTTGGTGATTTCGTCACAGAGAAAACTTTGGCTGTGCCTCTTGCGTTATTATGGATGTGGGTAAAAGAGTAAATTGCACCTAATATTTTTTAATTAGAATGACAAATAGGGGGCTGAACGGGGTAACATGTCATAGTAGGGAAGCCCTCCTAATGACCTAGGCTGTTATTTTCATCCAGCCAAAGTTTTTCCCTTATCCCAACTTTCAACTTTATGCTCGATTGGGTGGGTTGGAGTTTCTTAAAATTGGGTTGGGCAGTAATCGGGTTTAACCCAACCCGATTTGTCTGTATGTCCATGTCAAGTGGATCAGTTTTTTATTCACACGGAAAGAGAAGATAGATTAGAATAGATGCCTGATAGTGAGTAATGAGTCTATTGACCACTTGCAATGTTGTATACATGTACGTAACCTCACGCCTTTTGTACTCAAAAGAGCATCGTTTGATTGGACGGTTAGATCTGATTCTCGTAAAAAGCAGGCAGAGTTCATGATAAACTGCCAATCGGGTTCAGATTGGGCCGTGGTTCTTTTAGATTGATTTCAGGTTGAGTCGAGTTTCAGGTTGGTCGGAAAATTCTGGACTCTAATCTTAAATGTTTGGGTTAGGGTTGACCGTAGGTCAATTCGGATCAATCTTTAAAAAAAATGAAATTTTAAAAAAAATATGAGAAAACATGAAAATGTCAAAATTAAACGAAATAACATCAAAATTCAAAACTTCAAAAAAACTTGAAAATTCAAAATTAAAAGAATAAAAAATAAAAACTAAAGACTAAATAGTAGAGATTAAATGGTGAAATTTTTTTAATAATATACAAATAATTCTAATTAAACCTGACAATCAGATCATCAGAATTGACCCTGATTCAAACTGACCCAATCCAAAAAAATCAGATTGAATCAGGTCATTCTGTAAATATGAAACCTAACCCTATTCGGATTGATTCGAATCAGATAGATCAACTTTTTGCCAGGTCTATTATGATCGATCCAACATGGTCGAAGACTTGGGTTGGGGAATAGCCACCATATATATAACCTATTAAGAATGAAAAGTAAGGAATGAGAAGCAAAGCTGTAACTCCCATATAATATATTAATTAAAATTGATTGCTGCTGACTACAGTCATACATCAATGAATGAGAGAGAGAGTATGTTGCCATCTCCCGGGCTTATTATAACAGAATAGTCCAAGCACACTATAGCATCTGTCCTTATCAAATCATGCCAACCCAGATCATCTCTCAAGGTTGTTCATTAATTTAATCGCCACTAATTGCAGAGAAAATGCCACGCCCCAACCCTAGATGGTGGAAAATCTATTGGATAAGCCTTTAGGCCTTTAGCTTTCCTGAATTTTCTTTATTAAAATTTAAACCCCTTTTTCTAATTAAATCAAAGGGTGCTCACACAGTACAAATACATGGTTGTCTCTCCACTGATTGATTAGTGGGGTGGATTTGCCCTTTTTAATACTTTGCTTTCCTCCCAAATTTTTATATAAAAAATAAAAAATAACCCTCAAACGTCATTGTCATAATCCTTTCTTATATTCCTTTGTTGAATCATCCAATAACAAGCCTAATATTTAATTAAACCACCCCGAAATGCTATACAAAGTGTAGGTGGGATCAGTCTTTTTAAGTCCCTTTTCTAGGGTTTCCCCAAACTTTGAACTTGGAAAAGTTGAAACTCCACTTATCGTTTTGCTATGACCACCCCCAAATGTTTTTCACGGGGGGCATTAGCATTATTGAGTTCCTCGTGCAATGAAAGTAACTAAAAGACCATTGGAGGAGTTGCAATCGCGAACAGGTGGAGTGCATATGTCATCTCTTTGTCTGCTTAATAAACCCTAATCGCCCATTATGATTGATATAATAATAACACAGACCCACGCTTCGGTTAGGGTCTGGGTTTTTCATTTGTTTCATCTTTTCCAATGGGCTTAGAGTTAGAGCTCTTTGGGGGCCATACGTCTCTCAAATTCTTTTTTCTTCATTATTATATCATCTTAATTTAGTATATCCAACAGTTTCTTCTTTCTTTCTTTTTTTCCTTTTTCCATATCTATTACTAGTCCTAATGAGCTATAGAGAATCATGCATATTAGGCTGGGCTACCTATTATCATGAATGAATACACCAGTGTTCACTGCAGGCCCCGTCCATACTGAGCACGAGCGAGTTCACTTCGGTTTTTAAAACCTTGCTATCTGCATCCTCTCCTTTCCGTGCACACCTATACAAACAAAGTTGGGCCGATTGATGACCTTCGTTGGAGAAGAGATCAATGGAACTGATCACGTATGCGTGACAAGTAACAACACAAAGTTTCAATTATTTTGTATTATTTCGTAGGCAGTGATATTTTGTCCTTCTAAAACTTAGAAATACAAAATAGCAACGTACATATTTGCATTTGTACTCTTCCCAAACTAAGCCAAAGGAACCATGAATAAGACTGAAAATATTTACCAAAAAAGACTGAAAATGAATATGATTTAATCCGATTAAATTTGAATATAGTTAGTATTTATATTTAATTTATGTTAATTTTACATAAACTTGTAATATTTTAATCAAATTGAATTTAAATCAGATATCCAGATATATAAATGAATCAGACGGTCAGATGGAATTCAGATATCTCAGATGTTTATCTGATTGATTCAGATTACCCCTATCAGCCCTACCGATCAAGAAAAGGGGCGTCCAGGCTGATGCATTATGTGCAATGCCATTTCATAAGACCGACCGCACAAGCACAATGTCCGAATGGATTCAAGTGACGATGAATTGATGATGCTCTAGCATTTGCCACACCCACACTGAACGTTTGGGTCTCGTCGGATTCTCTCAATAGGAATTCAACATTTATTTGCCCATTTGATCAGAATCCACTCCTACAAATTTTGCAATATGTCTGGCCTCCATGTGCTTTCCGACTGGGTTTAGATTTAGATTTATTAAGCTGTGGCCGTGGCCTGAAGCTGTGGGGACGATCTCACAGTGCAATGGCAACAGTGATGCATGTGCTACCCATGCAGCTCAGTAGGCCCTACTTCCATTTCTTTTCCCTTTTTTTTGTGTTCTGATTGTTTTGTTGTCATGCTGTGAGCTTGTACTTGGATAGTGAGCTCTTCTCTAAACTCTCAAGTGCCCAAAACCCATTTGATGATCTTATGATTTCATTGCAAAAAGAAAACTGTCATCCCTTGGGTACAACAGTTGAAGTCACCGGACAACTCGGATCAACAGTAACATAGTTGATTGTTTCATAGAACAAATCCAAACATAAGAAATAGCAATTGTTTCTCGAGGGAATCAACTCTTAGAGAACAGAATATCCAGGCACAAGCATGTAATAAAAAGCTTGGGACCTGCATTACGTGCTGCCAAAATCCGTCCATCTAGCTGCACTTTACCTTCAAGGTTGGACGGCCTCCAGAAGCTTCTCATAGACCTCTCTGGCGGACAAATCTTCAACCTGAAGAAACATTCAACATCTTGGTAAAGAAATCCACTTGAACAACAATAAAAGCAGGAATGAAAAATTTAGAGGAAAATAGTTCGCTTTCCTCCATTTGGATTCAAAAAACAAAATGGGCTCACCTTCAGCCTAACATTGAAAAAGATTGGAGGGGTTCAAATAAATGAGCATTATCTACTATAAGAGCCTAATAGGGCTGTAAGTTGGGTTACCTAACTTGAAGAAATATCAACTCAATTGGGCTTGGGTTAGGGAAATTTTAACAAACCCCAACCCAACCTGATCCAAGTTGCCCTACCGAGTCCAACCATGGTACCTAAAAAAAGTGAACCAGTCAACTGGAATCATCAATTGATAACCAATCAACTGATATCATTCAAATTCACCTGGGTTTCTGATTGGTTAAAAACTTTTCAGTTGGCATACCTTTCCAGTACCATAAAAATTGCCCTACTAAAAACATTGAAACAATCCTCATTTCTTTGTCTTCTTTTGTCCCTCCTCTTATGCGGGTAAGAAAGTAAGCTATTGTTTAAAAAAACAAGACCCCAGGTTCAGTTATTATGTGCCTGTTTGGGAGGGCTTTCACATTGCTGCTTTTGGCTTTGTAAGGTGGGAAGCCTATAACCAATGCTTGGCGAGAAATCTGGAAAGCTCAACTTGATTATTTTTCAGCCACTTGCATGGTTTTCCATCGAAGCTTCTTTTAGTGGGTTCTTCAAAGCAACTCAACCAAAATTTAAACCCTCCCAAACAGGGCTTACATATATTAAATTATGAAAAATGCTTCCCATCAATCACTGATGGATTAGTACCAAAGCCCTTTGCATGTGCCCCACTCAACTTATATAGTGTTAATTAAAAATCAAGTTCAAAAGTTTGCAAAAAACAATAAACTTTCCTCGCATTAAAGCTTTAAACCTGGATATAGTGACAAAGGGTTGGCATAATGCCATGTAAATGCCAATCACTGAATATAAAAAATGACCTCATCTTTTTATCAATAAAATAATGACCTCATTTCAATTTACAAAATGCACCTCTTTGTATCCTGCAGGTTGGATTCACTAACAGGGCTACTACATGGACTTTGATATTATTTCTAATTTCATATAGTGCTTGAGCATATCAAGCTAAAAGAGAATCACATATTGCACCTCTTAGCTTTTACATCCAAAATTAACAACTATCATGATTAGCAAACTCACCACTAGGAGCTTTGATTTATTATTCCACCCTCTCTGAAGAGTCATCTGGCTGAGCCTTAGACCCAATACCTGCTCCAAGAAAAATAATAACCTTGTAAGCTTTACCTTTATGCTTTTTCATAACCATCTTGGTAGAGCATTGGATAGTCCATCTAGCCTAATAAAAGATGTGAAACACACTTTGCCCATAAATTCCAACAGCTCATTATTTGCTTCCCCCCGAGCAGCAGGTGCGGCCACAGTAACTCGAACATCATCTGCATTTACTCCTGATACAAATGGATTGTACAGATAAAGGTGCACTCAGTTGCATGTTTTGAAAATTTATGGATTAAAAGCAACTTTAAAATCTCAGAAGAAAGTTTCCAAATTAATGTGATTCCCATACTATGACATCAAATAAAATCATCATTTCCCCCACTCCTTTTTTATATATATGTGAGCAAGGAAGGCAGCAGCTCTACTTGGACAAACAACAACAGACGAGGCAATGTAATAATATGATCGTACTTTTTTTATAAATACGATGATACCTGTTTTTCTCCTACTCAAAAATAAATAAATTAGCATATGAATAAGAGTAACTATCTAAATAGAGAGATCTATAGAACAAATTCCTTAATCATATCAAATCGTTTGCATCATCTCATCAAAGATTCCAGGAATAATTGTCGAATTCTTATCTTTGATGAGGAAAGGATATTGAAAAAAAAAATTGAATTGATGTGAAGGCATTCACAAATAACCCCAGCAGAAATTGAAAGCGGAGAGAATCCACAAACCATGCAGTTCTGATGACAGATTAAAGATTCCATGACAGGGTAAGGGACCTCAGAGTCTCAGACATTGACTGGTAATGCGATTGTAATGATGAGATGCCATTCACTTTTTAGACAAGCATCAAAGTCTCCCATCCCCAGGAATTCATTTGTGTGGCAGCTAGTGGAAACCATAAACACTAGAGGTCTACAGGAATTTACTGGTCTAACCCATCTAAACCACCTAAATTTCAGTCTATTTCTGTGTTCAGCAGGACTTCCAAACAACATCATGATGTCAGCAAGGCTCATGGCTGTCAAAAAAGAAAAGAAAAAAGTAATAGCATGCAAGATCACCAGCCAGGACAAGTAAAACAAGGCTCAAGAGCAAAAACTTCCACAGTGGATTGAAAAGATGCAAAAGTTGTATGTTAATAGGAACTCTGTTCTCTGTTGACTTTATCATTTCATTTTGACAAAAAGCAACAACAATGGATGTGAAAACATGTACAGCAAACAACATTCCACAAATATTTCAAATATGACCTTTTTCCTGATCAGTTGGAATACAGCTATGTGAGACATGTGAGTTGAGATCACTGGAAAATTTGCTAGGTACGTGTTTAAACTGCAGATTGGTGGCTCCACTTAGTCTAGAATCATCATAATACCCAAAGACATCATTCCTTTTGTCCCCATTAGTAGCCATATAAGAACAATAGCATGTACTTGTGTTTGTGCTTCTACAGCTCCTGTAATCATGTTGGAAGCAGTAGACAACACTAATTGCAATAAGTTAGCTTTATATACCCAGTGCCAAGCCTGGAAAAGAAGAAAAGCATCACATGTCAAGGTGGTGCCTATGCCCACCATAACACATTTGCAAATTCAATTAATGATCCTGATTACTTGTTTCAAGATACTTCCAGGTGTTAGACAGTTTTTGTATGTCCTTAGCTTCAATCAGAATGATGTACATTATGAGTTTATTGTAAATGAATAAAGTACATATTTGATTCATGTTCCT